ACCTATATTAACTCAGTTCACATTCTTCATCTTGTTCACAACATGTAAAACCTCATCAAAAATCTTGCAGAAAATCAGACATACTATGGCTATAACATTTCTCTGAGCTACCTATCCAGTAACTCTATAAAGGAAATAAATTTGTAATAAAGTCATGCTAGTTCCCGGAAACCACAACTTTCTCTTCTATGTTCACAAACTATCCTTTTAATAATCTGGTCTAGAATTTTGCACAGAATATATATCAGCCAACTAACAGATTATCCAAAAACTACAAACAGAAATTCAGCAATCTTTTAATCAAGTTCTCCTACTGCAATGAAATATAATTAATAAGAGAGAGATCCTACATTCATTTACAGTAGTTCAGGCCCTTTTGTGTTAAATTCCCTTACATATTACATTTCAGCTTCCTACTGCTAATATTTGGTTGGCCCTTTCCAGAGTGGAAGTAATTCTTCTGGACCAAGAAGACAGAAATAAGAGGAGCTAACAAAATCTACTTTCTACGACCTGTTAATGTTTCCTTACCCACTCTAGCAGCAAGACTATAAACCTAACTGCTGTGAACATAACTGCTGTAAACATAACTAATAAGCCTTTTCAAAAATGATTACTGCCATTTTCTGAAGGTCTCAAATAACTGCGATTTCTAGTTTCTGAAACTATTCTTGTGGGTTCTGCCACTCTTCAACCTTGGTTTTATGTCCTTTTTTATATATTTAGTACTTATAACTGGACACAGTTACTGTCTATTCACAATAGCCTCTTCAGGCCTTTCTTCATTAGAATTTACATTATTTAGTATTTCTAAATTATTATTTGCATTATTTAGTATCTCCCACTCTCTTGGGAATATATCCCAATTACTTTAAGTAGAGGAGGTATACACTTGGAATAATTACCTTGACATTACTTGAAATGTGTCTGGAACTCTGTCAAAAATGCCTTTCAGAAGTGACTTCCCTCCCCAAATCAGTTATTACTTTATGGTCATACCTCCCCTTTAATAGGAACTATATTGCCCAGCTTGATCACCTATTTTATTATGAATAATAATAGCTAACATTTCCTGGGTATGTAATACATGACAGGCACTACAGTAAAGGGTTTTCCAGAGTCTTTGATTTAATACTCACAACTATAATGAGGAAATACTATCATTATCCAATTTTGCTGATAAGGTAGCAAAAACTTAAGTAACCTGACTCAGGTTACACAGATACTAAATAATAAAGCTACTTCCTCAGCCCAAATCTGTCTGAATTAAAAACAAAACAAAACAAAAAAACAAAAGCTGCACCAATTTCTTTCTACTATACCTCCTAGTCATTCACATGTACGCTAAGTTTGAAAAGCGAGGAAGGTGAGATGTTCTAGTTTAAAGTGACTTACAAAGTGAAGTGATTTTTTAAATAAATGTAACAATTTATAGATCACATATCCAGAAACATTTCAAAGTAATCACCTTGAGAACCTTAGTTTGGTAACTTTTTTTAATGTAACAGTTTCCGTAACTTGTTACCAATCTTTTAAATATTTTCAAAATTGGCAAATATTAATTTTTGAGGATAATTTCTATTTTGGAACTAGTGTGATAATTTGGAACCAAATTTTTTATAAATCGGAAATAGCGGTTTAGGGTGCTACATCTTAGTATTGGAGTGCACGGCTTCAGAGTGACAGTCCTAAATTTGAATTCCACCACCCTAACTTTTACCAAACTATTTAATTTAAATTCTGAGCCTTTGTTTCCTCATCTGAAAAAAAAGAAAGGTATAATTTATCTCACAACCATTGTGAAGATTAAATGGAATATGTATATATAGCTTCTGACTATCCATATATACATAACACAACTGACCCTTGAACAATGTGGAGATTAGAAGAACCCACCTCAGCTTCGTTGAAAATCCACATATAATTTCTGACTTCCCAAAAACTTAACTAACAGCCCACTGTCGACTAGAAGCCCTATCAATAATATATAAACAGTCGATTAACACATATCTTGTATGTATGTGTATTATATACTATATCTTTACAATAAAGCTAGAGAAAAGAAAATGTTTTTTCAAATTGTCACAAATCTCTAAGAAATTTTCAATCTATTTCTTGAAAAAAATCCACATATAAATAGACCTGCACAGTTCAAACCCACGTTATTCAAGGGTCAACTGTATATTATATACATGATAAATAATAAATGTTTGTTTCCTCTTCTCCAATGTTATTTTAATCATTATTTCAGACTATGAACACATCAGATAACTCTGTCATTTATAACTTTAAAAAAGCAAGTGATTTTTTTTAGTATATCATTTTCAACTATTGATTTTTTGCTCTAAATTACATGAAACAGTATTTTGATAAATGTAGAAGTCAGTCAGCAACTACCTGTGGAAACCATCTTTCAAAACTTCTTGCCTCAAAATAATTTCAGAACAAGTGGCGTGTATGCCTGTAAGAAGAACCAAAAGATATTTTTAAAGAAAATAAGCATGCAATGAAAGAATATTTAAATAATTAGAAAATAATTATTTGATAATGTTTTACTTGCCTGGAAAACCTAACCAACCTAAAAATAAAACAAAAACTTATAAAACTTAAGCAATTTGAGCTACAAATAAGTCTACTTCTAACACAGCACTTGGGTTAAGAACATTGACTTTGTAGCTAGATTGCCTAGTTTTAAATCCCAGTCTGTGGCTTAATAGTTATGTGACTTTGACCAAAATAGTTTCTCTCTTAGTTGTATGAATTTAATACAGGTAGCAGCACTTAAAACAGGGCCTACCACATAGTAAGAGCTCTATGTAAGTGTTTGTTATGACCCCAGAACACCCAAAAGAACAGAAAGACTAGAGAGCCAGGAAATCTGTTACAATCCTAGCTCAATGAAACTATGTATTCCATACATACATGCAACTTCTATATTCTACCATCTGCACCTATAAAACTCAGAAGGTGGTACATTTATGCCTTGTGGAGATGTTGGGAGGGTTTTTTAAAAAGAGGCATTTCAAAGGTTCAAAGGATTCCTTTATAAACTTTAGAATAACTTGTGACTGAATTCTCACTATACTGACTCCATGCAGAATTCTGACATTAAACCTATTATTCAACATCAGCATCATAAAAGTAAAACTTCAGTTACTAATGATCACCAGTTCTGCCAGGAACCTTCTATGGAACTTCATTCCACTTTCAAAGCTGGAGGTGTATGGGAAGAATTTTAAAACAAAACACAGAAAACTGATATACTATTGTATGATGCTAAATCGATTAGTGTTTTCCTGAAAAAAAACGATGTGGAGATGAAAATATCTGAAATATACAAGGGAAAGAAGAAATAAAGCATGGAAAAATAATTTAAATAGTACCTGTACAACAGATCCTCTACTTGGGGCTTTCACATGTGTTTTCATTTTTACAACTTTTTACATAGGAGAAAACTGACTTAGGAAGTTACTGACTCTGGATCATACAATAAGTTACTGAATTTTGAAGCAAGATTTGCCTGACTTTCAAAGCCTATGATATTTCTACTCTTTTAGCTAGAGAAATGCTTGTTTGGAGAGGCATATATCTTTTCCCGAATAACCTAACGTTATCGCTTATACAAATCGCTAAGTTTCTTCATATTTACTTTTAATGGGGATGGGGTGGGAGTAAGGGTTTATATCTGCCTATAAATTAAGTTACAAAAAAAGGTCAGATTAATAGGCTTAAATTCTATTGGGATAACACTAGAGAGTATTAAATCACATTCATCTTGGGGTGATAGGCTAATTTACAAAACAGTATAGCAAATACTACATTATGATTTTTAAGGCAAAAGTACCATTTTCAAAATGAATTTGTTACATCTGAATTCACCTTTAAGATTTTTTTTCCTCTTAAACATTATTTGGTTACTCTGGCCTGAACTGGCTCTGGAAGTTTACCCCTTTTGAATCACAGAATGCTAGTGCCAGAGGAGTCTTTAGAGATCACCTAGTCCAGTTACTTAAAAATTCTTTTTGGCCTCATAATCCTTTCTTAAAACTTGGTAACCTAATATGTAAACCCACAAAAGCAAAACTGCAATGATTGATAGATACTAGTTTAATATCTTCATTTTACAGATGGAGAAACTCACCTGATTTGTACTGACTTTCCCTTCCTTATCAAATGTTATAGCTTTATTGTAATTACTGCACGTATTTGTCTCCTCCACTACACTACAAGTTCTACGCGGGTTGGGGCCGTGTTCAGCTCAGGGCTGGACAACAGCAACTAGCACAGCACTTGGGCCCAAAAAACAACTTGCTTACCCAGCTCCGAGTCATAAACTCCAGGCCATCCAGTTTATTATCAAAACTGTCTGTAAAACAAAACTAGTCGTCCTCCCCTTCCCATGTCCCTTAAGTCTCTGTATTCGGGATTGGGATTCTCACACTTTACATGGCCCTGAGGCTTTGTTGGCCCAGTGGTAGTCAGAAGCTTTATGCAGCCCAAGAGCATACCAAAACGCTTCACCGCTCTAGTTCCTTTAGAGTATTTTAGTAATAGCGCAGCCAGTCCCACCTCTAAACGTCAAAGCCCCATCTCCAGAGACCCAGGAGCGGGTAGAGAGCAACCGGACGGGGAGGAGGAGAGGAAGAGGAACGTGGCCTTTGTTGTTAACCTCCCCTAGCTCACCCTATAGTTCTAGGATCGCCCGGTGAAGTACCACTCCAAAACGAGGAGCCGAGGGGACCCTGGAGTCCGGACCGCACCCGGCCTAGGGGCCCTCAAGCCCCACCCTCTCCCGCAGCCCCGCCCCACCCATTACCCGCGTTGGTGGGGGTGGCGGTGAAGGCCGCGGACGGCGTTAGCGTGAGCACAGACACCTCCCAGAGGAGCAGCCAGGCCACCGCCCGGACGGCCACGGCCCGGGCAGCCAGGACGCTAAAGAACGCGCGCCTGAGAAGAGCGCGCGGGAACGAAACGCGGACGGAAGAGGCTGCACACGGCCTCACGCCGCTCCTAGAGCGTGCTACCACAGTTAGTAACCGGAACGGAAGGCTCGCCCGCGGTCCAGCCGTTCCGGCTCCTAGCAGCTGTGATTGTCGAAAGCTCCGGAGTCACGAGAGGCGACGGTCCCAGTCCCCTAGCTCGCTCCTCTCACCACTCCGCCCTTCGCCGTCCCGGTCGGGGGCGGGGCTAGAAGCCGCGCAAGCGCCGTGATGTACGCTCGGGCTGTCGCCGTGGGAAGTGCTCTTCGCTTCCACAGCCGTTTTCAGGTCCCCTTACGGGTTACCAGAGCCGGCTAGCGGAGCTCGGGTCTTTGCTTCCACTTCCAAGCATTTGCGGATTCGGACCTCCAGCCAGGGAGTTCACCCCACAGTCACGTATGCAGGGCTGTGGCTGTCGCCTCTTCCTGCAGCGCCAGCCTCCGCTTGGCCTCGGCCTCAGGTGCTTCTGCGTGCACTGCAATTGGGTGTAAAAGACCCCCTAACGGCGGTTTTAGACGTTGGCCTGCTGGAGAAGATGCACTTTCTGTACTTCTCTAAGGGTAAGAAAGTCAGCCTTTGCATGAGTGGGGACGTGAAAACGTAGAGAATCGTCTACCTGTGTAACTCCGGGGGAAAATATTTTCGCAGCCCGGGGCGAAATACCTTTGAATCCGAGATAAGTCAAAGGGAGAAATAAAGGGGGAGAAACCCCTCTATTGCTTACAAGCAGTCATCCACTTCCGCCCGCCACTACCTCTCGCACGCACCCCGCTGCAATAAAGGGACACTCCACCCATACTCTCCCGTCTAGATATGCCCTAATTATCACTAGATAATTACCCGTTGATATGGAGATGGCTGCTTTTCTCCACCCCTTGGAAACACCTACAGGTGTGGAGATGCACTAAGGGCAGGTGAGAGATTTCGGAAATAACTGCAGTTTTATCCACAACCTGTTGGCAAAATCTGTACATTTTTAGCTGCTGTGGGGGATGCCTGGCAGGATTGTGGCAGTCACTGATCACTGAGGAGAAAAGCATTAGTGTCTAGGAAGAGAGTTAGGTAAATGTGTCATCTGTCTTAATGAATTAAATTGAATCTGTAAGTAGGCCTCCAGAGTATATCCAGTCCAGATTGGAGCAAACCGAGGGCTCTAAGAGGAACGTCTCGCAGAGGAAAGATGTCAGAAGATACTATCTAAAACTTAAAATAGCATTATAATCATGCTATTAAGAAACATGGAAATAAAGTTCAGCAGGGACACTTAAAAGAATTGAAACTGGTTTCCTATGGAAAGGCAAAGGGCAGAAGATAACAGTTTTTTGTTACAAGCCTCATAGAATTATTTTACATTTTAAACGATATAAACATTACTTTAGTAAAAATAAAGGTTTAATTTTTTTTTGAGAAAGGAAACTAAGTAAAAAAAAGTACCTTAAATATCAATTGCAGTTGATTTCCTAAGAGTAAAAATTCTCACATCTGATAGTAAGGGGTGAATAATATAGATTTTGGTATATCCATAGGACAAATACTTGGCAGCCATAAAAATTGCATTTTCATAAAACATTTAATGGCAAAGTCACATAGGTTATTTACAAGGTAGAAATAGTACATATATTATAAAAAACATACTATAGTTTAAAAAATAAAACTGTATGCCTAGAAGAAAGACTGAAAGGGTGATTGATTATATTTCCTCCTGCCCCTTTCACCCATAACCCCATTTTTCTACAATGAGCATGTATGTGGAATAACTATGTTCCTATAGTGATTCTCAAACAGAACTGAGTTTATGAAGATAGCATCACCCTACCCTGTTTTACCTCTAGGTTCCTTGACATTTAGAAATCTTCCTGAGAATATCATAGTTGTACTTAAAGCAGTCCCTAAAATTAAGTGTATTTTGGCATTGGGGGCAGGGAAGAGAAGAAGGAATAGAAATTATTAACCTGCAAAATAGCTGTGTTTCTTATAACTGAAAAAAATATATAGTGAGACAAATAACCTTAAATAAAAGCCACATAAACTTTATTGCCTTGTATATATAGAAGCAGATTCTGTATCAGATCTGCCATTTTGATCACACTTCTATACTATAAACACTCAGAGGATATACAGGAGCTCTCTTAATATTAATACACTGAATTAAACAAGTATGTATGGAATGCCTACTGCATTCCAGGTATTGTGCTGGAATTTTGGTGAACAATGGATATATTCCCTGCCTTCATGGAGCATATAGAAAAGAAAGGAAAGTAAATGATTAAATAAGCAATTACCAAAAAATAAAATGCACAAAGGTGACAGATCTGGTCTGGTGAACCTGTTAGGACATGATGTTTAAGATTAAAAAAAACTCTTAGTACCTTGATATAAAGAGTGCTTATACATACTTTAATTGGTAAATAAAGAAGATCCTATAAGCCAATTCTTGGGCTGATTCAGGGGCTTATACATATATAGAAAACTTTTGGTTAAGAGTACAGTACACTGATTTGCATTTCCAGGCTCATATCTGAACAAACTTAATCCTGTCATGGAACCAGAGATTTTTAGGGGTCCAGCAGAGTAAGAGTAACCCAGGGCCAAACTGTACTCTCAGGGTAGCTCTCAAAATACTGAGTTTCGTAGGCTGAGCATGCAGCTCCAGAACTGGACTAGAGCCAGATCTGCTGGGGAGGAAGAGAGGAGGCAGTAGGATTTAGCCAACACTTAATTTTTTTTCCCCTTTAGCAGGAAGTCATTATGTGACTAACATATTTTCATCAGATTTCCTCTGATTTACCCTGAAGCATATGTGAAAATGATGTGCACTGCCAAGAAATGTGGAATTAGGTTCCAGCCTCCAGCTATTATCTTAATCTATGATAATGAAGTGAAGGAGAAAAGTCGCCTGCGCATCATGCCCGTCCGAAACTTTTCAAAGTTTTCAGGTACCTCATGCTTTATCTTGTCTCCTGTCTTAAATATTTTCTAAATCACTTAATAAGAATGATTTGAGTCTCATGTAATGGAGTGACATGGCCTTCAGAATTGAACAGACCTATATTCAAATCATGCCTCTAGCAGGGCAGATGTGTGACCCTGACTAAATTACTAACTCTCAGGAGCTTCAGTTTACTATTATGTAAAAGGAAGTCAATAATCCAACCCTTTCAGATTTGTAGTGGGTTAAATGAGATGTCATTTTCAGTAATACTAATTTTCTTTCTCCTCACAAATGTGTTTTTATTTGCAGTCTTGATATTCTCAGTACCAGTACTAATATCTAAAGCTATAATAATACTTTTTTTCTTCAGACATTTTCTCCAGTTCAAAGTGTTCAACATTTCCTTAAAATGATTTCAAGTGAAGGAAATAAAATAAATATCCCTCCTTTCCACACCACACACAAAGCTTGATATAATGGAATGGTTCTGCAAAATACTTCATTCCAAAACAGCCACTTAGCTACTTTGCTGTGATGGCAGATGAAGCTTTCAGTAGTTAGTGGTGCATCAGTAGTTTGTGATATATATATTGTTTGTAGCATATAGTTTTGTTCCTCTCTCCTAGATTGCAACAGAGCTGCCGAACAGTTAAAGAATAATCCACGACATAAGAGTTACCTGGAACAGGTACCTCTGAGGCAGCTAGAGAGGTTGTTCAATTTATTACGAGGTTACTTGCAGGGACAGAGTTTGGCAGAAACAATGGAACAAATTCAAGGGAAAGCAACTATTGATCCTGAGGAGGACCTGAATAAACTAGATGACAAGGAACTTGCCAAAAGGAAGAGCATCATGGATGAACTTTTTGAGAAAAATCAGAAGAAGAAGGATGATCCAAATTTTGTTTATGACATTGAAGTTGAGTTCCCACAGGATGAACAACTGCAGTCCTGTGGCTGGGACACAGAGTCAGCTGATGAGTTCTGATACCAAAAACTCAAAACTACTGGGCTAGCAAAAAATACATGTTTACACAAAGGATGTAGGTTGGTTCTAGAAAATACCTGTAAAGAACACTAAATGTACCCTTTTGGTCATATTTGGATTGACTGTGTTACTTTAAAAACCCAGGACATGTAGAGCATCTACTGTGTAGGTGCATAAGGAACACAGGAAAAGCAGAATATAGGAATCTGCCCTGAAGGAGCTTACAATCTAATTGGAAGGTAAGTCAGAAACTTGTGAAAAGCTAATTAACAGTACTAGGCAGCAAAGAGATGACAGCCAGATGCTTGATAAAGGCTAAAGAGGGTCAGAGCCTATATTACTGTAGGTTAAATAGGGAAGATTTTGTCCTTTAGTGGCAAGATGGGACTTTGCCTGGCCCCTTGAAATGGTAGTATTTGGATAGAAACTTAAATCAATTCCAAATGAGAGAAACTGGGAGAAAAAAAAGGGTGGATGGGTGAGGGTTGGTGGTAAAGAGATAGGAATTAGAAGATTTTCTTTGAGGAACAGTAAGGAAAGTATAGTGTGATAAGATTGGAGGACATGTATGGTTCCTAAGGGTTTGTCCTGTATGCCTTATGTCTTCATATGTATTTAACTCTGTTTTATGTGTATTTAACTCTGGAATGGAAGAGTTTGCTGCAGCAGCAAGTGGGTGCCCTTTGATAGACAGCAGGGGAGTTCTGCCCCTTTGGTATCAGGAAATATCTGCTGAAGACATTCTGAAACCCTGAACCTCTTCTCATAAATAAGAGGTTTGTTTGTCAATTGGGAAATCTACCCATAATAAGTGAACACTAGATACTGCCAGTATAGGCCTATTGAGTTTGGATGTACAAAGGGATCTTTATTGACCAAGGTTATGTGTATACAGATATATCTTTTTTAATTAGAATATTATTCAATTTGTAGAAATCTTATGTTTGCTGCAAGCAAATTAATACTCAAATAAAACTGTAAAAATCATTCACTCTTTGTGCCTGTCCATCCCAACTCTCTTTACCAGTAAAAGCCCCCTTAAAGGATTCATTCTTACAGTGATATTACCAGGGATTTAAGATGGCCATGGGTCATATATATATATTTGCCAAAGGTAGCAATAGAGTTTTCAGAATTGGAGAGTTTTCAGTATCTACGTAGTATTCCATTGTGTAGATGTAGATGTTTTCTTCTGAGAGCTGAGTTTAGGTTGTTTTCTGCTTTTACTGTTACAAACAATGCCACAGCAAATAATCTTGTACATTCTGCTTCTCATGTGTGAAGTCTATAAATAATGCCTAGATGGGAGTTCCTGGGATGGGCATAATGAATTTTAATAGATACTACTAAGTTGTCTTCCAAAGGGGTTCATTAATTCATTTATTCATTTAGTGTATGTACTTAATAAGTACCTACTACATGCTGAGCCTGTACTATTCTAGAGGGTGGGGATGCAGCAGTATACACAACAAAGTCCTTGCCTTTAAAAGGTTTCCAGCTTAGTGGGAGAGGAGAGACAATAAAGGTAAATACATAGACTAATGTCATTGATGAATGCTCGGAATTAAAAGCAAGGTAAAAAGAATGATGGAAACGGGGAGCCACTGTTTTCAATTGGGTGATCAGGGAAGGCCTGAAGAGATGACATTTGAGCAAAGGCCTAAGGAGGTAAGAAGTTGATGTGCATTTCAGGGGTAGTGGAGAAATGTAAATACATAGGTTCTTGGGGCTGGAGTGTGTTTGGCATATTTGAGGAAGAAAAAGGATCTTTTGAGCCATGGCTAATTCAGTTTAAGCAAGAGAGAAATGACAGACATGAGGTTGGAGTGTATTTTACCAATGCATAGCACTTACAATGAAGGTCGTACCAACTTACACTATCAGCAGTACGTGAATACCTGTTTTCCCCCACATGCTCATCAACAGAGAATGTTAGCAAATGCATTGATCTTTGCCAACTTTATCACTTAAAGTGGTATCTCATAGTTTGAATTTGCATTTCTTTTATTATGAGTGAGACTGTCTTAATACATCCAAGATCCATTTTTAATGAAATAACTTAAATCTTTTGCTCATTTTTCTATTGAGTAGTTTTTTCTTACTGATTTGTATTAATTTCCTTAGGACAATAATCTTTGGTCAAGATATGAGTTGTAGGTATTTCTACTTTGTCATTTGTTTTTTATTTTGTTCATGATGTTTTTTTCTAGGCAGATTTGTTCAAGTCTAATTGGTTAATATTTTTCTCTATGGTTCTGCATTTTGTGTCATATATAGAGAGGCATTCATCCAAGATTTTTCTTTTAATCCCATGGTTGTTTCTATACAGGAATTTATTTTGGTATAACATGTGAGATACAAATCCAGCTTTTTTCCAGATGCTCATTCAGGTGTCCCAACACTGTTATCAGTTGAATTGCCCATTTTTTCTCATTGATTTGAAATGCATCCTTTATCATATCCTACGTTTCCGTGTGTGTCCAAATAATTCTTTTGATTGTTAATGTCATCTGCAGCACACTTCCCAGTTCATGCTTTTTTGATCTTTATTGAGCAAATCTCATGTGTTCACTAAATTAAGAGTTATAGAAAGATAGAAAATGGATCATAACTTTTGCCTCTGAGATGTTAACATAGTTTACTGAAAGCAACAAAATTAGTCAAAATGAGGTAGAGGTAGGTACTGACTGAAACTAGAGCAGATGGAGGAGATCATGTGAGCTGAGCAGTTGTGGGGTTTTTTTTTGTCTGGAGCTAATTCTTCTGCTGGACTCTTTTATATTTTTTCATTAAAAAAATTAATATGTATTCAATATTCATCGTTTTCAAAATGTAGGCAAATATGAGTGTAAAAGTGAAATGGGAAAATTCTCCCCTCACCTTCTCTCATTTCCCATGTTGCCCAGAAACTGGCTTCTCTAGAGTGCTCTGGATCCCATCATCTCTTGTGACCTTACTTCATCAATTATTTTCTCTCTCTCCATTTCTGTCTTTCTCGTTTCAGCTTCATGCCCTCCTGGCTCATTCTCTGCAGTCTGTAAACTAGCATAGAACCCTGCTGTCTTAAAACAGGAAAACACTTGACCTTGTCTTGTTTTTCTTTACCTAATACTGTACCTATGCAAATTTTAGCTCATTTAGTTGTTAAATAAATCTAACCCTCCCTACCCCATTCATCCACCCTTTAAGAGCAGATCCTGCTATACTCTGGTTCTAGAGCTGCTTGCTCAGCCTATCAAGCTCAATACTATGAGAGCCACCCTGGAAGTTCAGTTTGGCCCTGAGGTATTCTTAGTCTGTTAGATCCCTAAAAATCTCTGGCTCAACTGTGTTGTATACCTGAAACCAATATAATATTGTATATCAACTATCTGTCAATTAAAAAAAAGACTCAACTACACATCATTTTATACTCAGCTATTAATAAAATAAGCTAATTGAACTGTAAATACACTTTGCCAAAACCAATGGTTGACTATGTTTAACTGCTAAAAACCCAAATACAAATTGATATTTATAATAGCCTCAGAAAAAAAAGAAAAAATCTCTGGTTCATTGAGGGGTAAGTTTGTTCATATGTGAGCCTGGAAATGCAAATCAGTTAGAACTTCTTACTCTACTGTACTCTTAATCAAAGATTGTAACCCTGGGACCCTGGGTCAGTTCAAGAATTGACTTAAAAATTCTTTTCTGTTTTCAGATTAAGTGAGTATGTAACAAGCACCCCTTGTGTCAAGTGGTCACTTTAAACATAATCTGATAAGAGGTTCACCAGATCTGTCTGCCTTGCAGTTTTGCAATTATTATTCACCTGTCTAATATTTTGACAAGAGTGGTGGATGAAAATTAAGGATAGGCCATTGGATTTGGCAACTGGATCTCTCAATATTTACAAATGAAGCTTGAGGGGAGTGATTAGGATTGAAACTGCAGGATATTAAAAAGGAAACAATCTTAGGCCTAAATGAAAAGCTAAAACTATGGGTAAAACTATTTAGAAGAAAATAAAGAGAAAATCTTTATGACCTTGGTGTCTTAGCTTGGAATGCTAAAACAAAATACTGTCAATTGGGTGGCTTATAAATAACAGAAATTTATTTCTCACAGCTTTGGAGACTGAAAGTCCAAGGTGGATGCAGCCTGGTCGGTTTTTGGTGAGAACTCTTTTCCAGGTTGCAGATCATGAACTTCTTATAGGATCGTCTCATGGTGGAATGCAGAGCACAGCAAGCAACCTCTCTCCTTACTCCTAAAGCACTAATCCCACTCAAAGAAGTTTCACCGTGACAACTTCATCTAATCCTCATTACCTCCCCACCTGCAAAGGTGGGACCACAACCTCCAAATACCATCATATTGAGGGGTAGAATTTCAACATGAATATTGGAAGGACATAAACATTCAGTCCATAACACTTGGGTTAGGCAAAGAGGTCTTAGGTGAAGATCTAAGAGCTAAGAACTAAGAGCAGGAACATTAAAACAAAAAATTGATATATTGTATTTATTAAAATTTAAAAATGTTTTACTCCAAAGATAACATTGAAAACATAAAAAGACAATCCAGAGACAGAGAATATATCTGTAGACCATATATCTGAAAAAGGACTTATACCCAGCATATATAAAAGACTCTTGGCAGAGCCAAGATGGCAGCATGAGTAGTTCAGTGGATATCTCCTCCCAAAAACATGTATTTATGAAAATACAATAAGTACAACTATTCCTAAAAGGGACACCAGTGGATACAGTACAGTAGCCACGATGCATCTACATCTGTGAGAACTCAACATCACATGAAGGGGGTAAAACACAAGCCGTGGCCCGGTGGGACCCAAATGCCCCCCCACCCTGGAACCCAGCGGGAAGAGAGGACTTGGAAAAGGGAGGGAGTGAGCCCAGGAATGCTAAACAACCAGCTCTAGAAATCCGCTCCCAGAGTGCAGACACAAGGTGCACGGGGTGCTGGATATTAGAGAAAGGGAAAAGCAAAACCTGCGAGCAGGTCCCCACAACCAGCATCCCTGAGACAAAAGAAAAGCAAGTGCTTTTTGCAAGTCTTAAAGAGACAGGGACCCCACAGCTGGATGAAGTCCCGGCACACTTAGCCAGCAGCTGGGAATCCCGGGGAACTTTAGGCACCCTAACTCCCTGGGTGGCAGCACAGCTCTGAAGCCCCTCACAGCAATAAGCAACCTGCCAGTCATTCCCCCAACTGGCGTGGACCCTGACACCCTGGCCCAGTAGTGGGAGAGTGGCAGTGCACACTGGGGGCGGCACCAGAGGGGACCAGGAGTGGCCTGTGCATGCCGGGGGCACCAGAGGGGACGGAGATCAGCCCGTGCGAGCCCGCTGCAGCAGCGACCGAGCAGCCCAGGAGCGGCCTGCATGTGCTGGCGGCCACGGCACCAGAGGGGCCCAGGAGAGGCCGGCGCAAGCCCGCAGCAGCGGTGACCAAGTGGCCTGGGAGTGGCTCGTGAGTGCCGGCAGTGGTGACACCAAATGGGCACAGGAAAAGCCCATGCGCACCTGCAGCAGTGCCAGAGGGGCCCAAGTGCAGCCCACGCGCGCCGGCAGAGGCAGCACCAAAGGGGCCCGGAAGCGGCCCTCAGGAGCTGGCAGCGGTGGTGGAGGAGCAGCCCAGGAGCAGCCGTGCTCCCAGCAGCCAACCAGAATCAAAGCCCGATGCACAGCCTCCCAGGCCAGACCCAAAAGGCGCTCTTGGCACACAGCTGCCCGGCAGGGGAGCCGCTTTCACGAGGAAACGCACCCGGCATGCCTGCCACTCCTCGCAGGGCTCTGCACTGCTCTGATGGAGACCCTGCCCATAGCAGTTTAGGGGATTAACCTGGTGGCTGCTCCAGGAGTGCAGGTAACTGACACAGGCAGCAGAGAAGGGCAAGGCATCCAGCAAGCAGGAAAGGACTTTCTTCTCCCAGCTGACACACCCGCCACCTGCCTACAGCGGCGGCTATCACCATGAAAAGGCAGAAAAATGTAGTCCAGTTCAAAATAGTCCAGACAACCCCTGAGAGGGGATCTGTAGAGACAGACCTAGCCAGTCTCCCTGAAAAAGAATTCAAAATAAAAATCATAAACATGCTGAGAGAGCTGCAGAGAAATATACAGAAGCTAAGGGATGATGTCCGGAGGGAGATTACAGAAATGAAACAATCTCTGGAAGGATTTATAAGCAGAATGGATAAGATGCAAGAGGCCATTGAAGGAATAGAAACCAGAGAACAGGAACACATAGAAGCTGACGCAGACAGAGATAAAAGGATCTCCAGGAATGAAACAATATTGAGAACTCTGTGACCAATCCAAAAGGAACAATATCTGCATTATAGGGGTACCAGAAGAAGAAGAGAGATAAAAAGGGATAGAAAGAGTCTTTGAAGAAATAATTGCTGAAAACTTCCCCAAACTGGGGGAGGAAATAGTTGATCAGACTATGGAAGCACACAGAAATCCCAACAAAAGGGACCCAAAGAGGACAACACCAAGACACATAATAACTAAAATGGCAAAGATCAAAGACACAGACAGAGTATTAAAGGGAGCCAGAGAGAGAAAAAAGGTCACCTAGAAAGGAAAACCCATCAGGCTATCATCAGACTCCTCAACAGAAACCTTACAGGCCAGAAGAGAATGGCATGATATATTTAATGCAATGAAACAGAAGGGCCTTGAACCAAGGAAACTACATCCAGCACGATTATCATTTAAATATGATGGAGGGATTA